GGAGGGGTACGTCTAGGAATTCTATCGGCGACGGGGAGAGGCTAGAGATTGATCAGATCTCCGTTGCCGGCTTCAAATGCACTGGGTCCGTGAGGATCCACAGCGCTTAGAGATCTTCACACAGCGTGAAGTCTCCTCCTCCCTTGTTCGTGGAGTCCTCTAACTTGGGCAGAAACCACTCAAGCCTCTTATACGGCTAGCAAGCCAATCACTAGCCGCCACGTGTGAATAATTTAGAACTGGCCAATAATGGGACTCGAATTAGCATACCAATGGTGGGAACTCCTTGCAACGAGCATCCCCTCTCTGCAGCAAAGAAATGCACCCTGCAAAACAAGCTCCAAATTGGCGGGAAATTCTCCCTTGCACCGGGGTTCTCCTCTGCAGCAGAAAACTCCACTGTGCAAGGAAACTGCAATTTAGCGGGGGCAATTTAGCAGTGCCAAAGCGCACACAAATAAAAATCACACCTTTTGGGTTGTGACAATACTTTTAAAAAATAACCCAGTGATGCTTTTTCCAAAGTGCATTATTGAAATAGACCAGCTTGTCAGCTCCAAGACTTGCGAAGTCTTCAATTTATCCACAGAATGCAAGCATCTGGCCTTGCCCTGTCTTGCTTAGGCCATGCTCCTCAATAGTGACCTTATATGATATAGGGTCCTTATATGATATGGCATTTAAAACCTGCTCTCTAACTCCTGTTATGTTATTAAGTGCTGTTGATGTCAGTGCGAGGCAAACATGTGCTTAAAGTTAAGCAAATGCTTAGGTACTTTGCTTTATGAGGTTCCTAAAAGGGCAAATGGTCCTGGAATTCGTTATCAAAGCCATTATTGATCAGATCTATGGTTTATTAGGTTTTCTTCACCTCTTTTGAGTTAAGAAAGAAATACACAGGCACACAGAGCAATAATAAAACATAGGGAATTTAATTAAATGGAAGACAGGTCTATTTACCACCCCAGACCCTGAAACCCTTATGTTAGCCACACAAGTCAGCAGGAGTCACCCGTCAAGCTTCTCTCCCTGGAGCTGGAAGCGGGCCTGGAGCCACGGAGGGGCTCTGCTTGGATGTCTGGCAGTCCCCAGCACATCAATCCCTGAAGGACAGCTTTCCAACTCCAGCTCCCTCTGTGCAAAAATGAAGTTTGTTTCTTACCCATGGGGACTTGTTACTGCCTATACTTTTCCCAGAGCCTGATGAAGGGCATTTGAGCCCGAAAGCTTGCAGATGAGGATATGCTTTTGCAATTTTCTTGGTGGATCTAATGAAAGGTATCACTTTGGAATCAAGAGTTCTAGATTTTTGTATTTCTACAGGACATATGACACCTCTATTACCCATCCCCCCATCCCTCCTCTGCCCCGTGGGTCAGGGTTCAGGGTGGCCTGGGCTTCATTCAATGCCTGACCCATTTTCTGCAGTTCCCCTCAGGGGGGAAACCACAGCACAGGGCTGGTGTGCAGGGACAAGGACCCCTTAGCAGGCACAGCCCAGGCTGCGCCAGCCTCCACCCAGTTGTTCCAAGTCCAGACACCATCCATGTTCCTTCCATCAGGGAAATGACTGCCTTAAGGACGCTTTCCCTCTGAGAAAACCCGGAGCAGTGCACGGTTGGCTGGGGGAGCTTTGCTCCCAGGCCCACGTGACTCGCGGGAGAGGGCAAGGGAGCGTGAAATGCACATCCGGGTGAGAAGTCTGTCTCCGCGGGTGGGTGCGTGTGTGGGGCTCGGCCGTGCGTGGCCGGAAGCGGCGCCTGTGGCCGTGGGCAGGGAGGTCGGTGCCATCCGCAGCGCATCTACCGCAGCCGCGCGGGGCGAAGGTGCGCGCGCTCGGAACAGACGTGGCGTGGCGTGGCGTGGGGGCGGGGCGCGGGGAGCCGAACGTTCGGGGCGGTCTACACAAACAAGCCAACCAACGGTCTGCGGGCAGGATTTCGGAGTGGGGCAGCGCTGCCTGCCCCCCTTCCGCTCCCCGCTTCAGTTCTGACACCGGGGGAGGGCAGGAACGGCGAGCCCAACCCCAGTGCGGCTCTGTAGCTTGTCCCTGGCCCCTCCACGGAGGTGTGGGGCTGTGCCGGCCTCTCCCTGCAGCCTGAGCGCCAGTCGCCTGTCCCATCTGCACTGCATTGCCCTGTTCCCTCCCGTTCACAGGCCGCTGTGCTGCACGGTCCCACCTCTTCCCCGGTGCTGGGAACAACGTGGGTACATGTCTTCTCCAGGCCACAACCAGCCATAGGTCTCCCTGTGCCCCCCGGGGTGAATGCGAGGGAGGGGAAGCTTTTCACTGGTAGCAGTGCCCTTTCTCACCTGTGCTTTAAAAAGACGGTGTCTTGTGAAAAGAAGGTCTCCTGGTTTGTTCCTCTAGACTTGGACTTGGGACAGCAAAGTGCTCTTCCTCTCCCACGCGCTTTCTGTGTGATCTTGTGCCTGGTCACTAAGTATTAGAGTCTAAAAAGACATACAAAGGCACCTCAAGCTGTAGGCTTGTGCCTACCGGGATTTTCAAAAGTATTTCCGTGCCTTATTCCCATTGATATCACGGCATCACATATTAAGGTGTTTCTTGGGCTCCAGCAAGCAGGACTTATAGTAGAGGTTATCTTTTATTAGCCCAACAAGATTTTTGGGGAAAAAAAACAACAATCTTTAATGGCAAGCTTTCAGGCACAAACACCCTTCATGAGGCATTGGAGAAAAGATTGTAAACGTTCTGGGTAGAAAAGTTCATAGGATTTCAAAGAGGAGGCAATAGGCAGAAAACTCCTTTGGGCAGTCAGTTCATAGCTGGTATGAAGCCTCTCCCCTCCTGTGAGGATCTGCGAAGATGCAAATTACTTTGAAACAAAGGCAGGAGCAGTGTCTCATGTTTCAGGTGGTCACAGTTGCTTCCTGCTTGGGAAAATATGAAGATTTCATTAAAAAAATCTTGGGCTCCAGGCACCCGTGTGCTTTTAAAAATCTGGGCCTTGACTTTTGCTTGGCCTCTGTGCTTCATGTGTAAAGACAGTATTGGTTGTCCCTACCTCAGGCAGCTATTGTGAGGAAAAAATAGATTCAAGATTGAATAGTGCTCAGATACTACGTCAGTGGGTGCCATGTCAGTCCTATAGATGGTTCTTTCTTTCTTCCTTGTGACTGAAATGTCCAGTAACTAGTAGGACCCCCTTCCTCGAGAGAGAAATTCATTGCAAAAGTTGGATGTGGCTTTGGGCAAGTGGCTGTGTTTGATTTAGCAATGATAAGCAGGGGTGATAGGCAGGATGAATAATCTGCTTGTCATTAGCACCTTGGGATCTTTTAACAGCACAAGAGTGTGTGTGGAATGAGGACGTGATAAAACCATCAGTTTCTGCAGAATTGGCTTGTGTTTTGGGTGTATGGTTTAAAGAAAATGTCTAGATTTGAAGGGGGAGCATAACTCCCATATAAATGAGTGCAAATGTGACTTTCTGAGTCTGCTTCAGGAAGCTGTAGTGAGCGGGGCCTAGTATCCCAATCTGCAATAGCAGAGTGGCACTGCTGAGACTCTGGCTTGCTTTGCTGGTGCTGTTCAGGAGCAGGAGCATTAGTGTCAAAAGTAATGTTCATTTCACTCTACTGATTCCTAGAGTAGCGGAGGCCTCCTCAACCATTAAGCAGCTGCAAAGAGGGCCTTTGGCGGTAGAAGTACAGCAGTCAGGAGATTTTGGTTGAGGAAGATGAATTTCTTTCTTGAAGGACACTATCTGTCAGGAGTTTTTTCTTGAGAATCAGTTACCTGGCAAAGTGGATTTGGCCAGACTTGTGGTCTGGAGGACAGTGTTTGCAGGGTGGAAATTGAGCCAGCCTCTTACTTAAATTTACATGCCAGGGTCCAAGCTTAACTGCTACTTTGTGGAGCCCTGTCTGTGTGTGGTACTCCCATTTTCCATGTCTGCAGTCTTGCTGTTAAGTCCAGTAATACACAGTTTGGCATCTTCCTTAATGCTTCAATGCTGCTTTGATCAGGGCTTCGATGTCTAATTTTTTAGCAATTCAGTTTTTATAGTAGTGCTTAAGCACCTACTTCTTTCCTGTCTTTGTGTTTGTTCATATAGTTTATGTCATGTTTTACCTGGAAATTTGGTCCTAAGTGCCTTTAAGTTTATATTTCTGCATCTGATGTGGCATATCAGTACCAATCTTCTAAACAGCTAAGCAGAAGTTGGTGATAATATTTGGTGCTTTGGTATTTGGGTGCTTTGCTTTTATTTGCAGATTGTTAGCAGTTTTGTCTACCACAAGGCAGACAGAAGAGATACTGCTCAGGGGTTTTAAGGTGTGTCCACATGTCAACATGTCAGCTCAAGATCAGGAGTAAATAAGCGTATCTGCTACTTATGCTGCTGCTGCTTTTTTTTTTTTTTGCTTCGAAGTCTTACCAGAACATGTATGCATGTCTTAGTCTGGACACTAAGAGAACGTAGGGAACATCTCAAAGCCCTTGTAAAGTTAGTCCAGGGAGACTTTTGTAAGTTTGGTGCAAAATTATTTTGAGTTGTTTAAAAAAAAGAAACTGCTGAGCAGAGGAACTTCATACACGTGTCACCTGCATCAACATACATGTAGCTTTGTGCCTCACATCCCTGAGTGTAGCTTCGTCAGCAAAATGTCCCATGATGTTATTTTTGAGGGCCAAGGTCTCCATCAAGTTTTGAAGTTTCTGTGCTGAAATATTTGGTATCAGTGTTCTGGTTCACCTGATGAGATGGATCCTGTACAGAAGAATTTTGAGGTAGGAGGCATTCAGTACAAGACAGCTTACTGTCCTTTGACAGTATCTTTGCATGTTTCAAGTATCCTCATGGGAAGTTAATGGAATTTCTTGCACTCCATATTCCCAGCTTGCTAATGCTAACAGTGATTAACTATGACTAGTATTCTTGGGGATGCATCCATTTGCCCCCTCTGAACCTGACATGTGTTCAGTCTTGGCTTTGAGGCTTACGTATTGCTTTAAACTTAGCTTGGACTCAGATTTTTGTACTACTTGCACTAAAATGGTTACTTGATCCCTGAGAGTTTTCTATTGACACATAACATTTTGTCTTTGATGCCAGCTGGTTTGCATATTTTGCCATATGATACAACAACTTTTGTGGTTTCACTGGTTTAGTCTAGGTCTTTCCGTTATTAAGGTAGTGTAATCATTTGTTTGGAATTAGACTGATTTCAGAATGATGCTAAACAATGTGGGTTCAGAGGTGTCAGAAGATTCTTCTGAAACTAGTATATTTCCACTGCACAGGAGTGATTGAATTGTATTCTTCAGGGCAAGTGCTAACAGTTCCCCAGTTTTTAAAGAGCTGCTGTGACCTAGTAAATATGGCATGTGTCTGAGAAGTTGGCTTCTGGAAAATCATGTCCTTCACCAAGTGGAAAAGAAACACAACTGTGTTAAGGTGTGAACAGGCTTTCACAAACCTTTTTACTTAAGAGTTGACAGAATCCTTTGCCTCTATTCAATTCGGTCCACACAGTTTATTTGACAATTGTTAAACATATTAACTAGTAGATCACTGTGTTATTGTTCAGGTTCACGCGAGACTTTTTTTTTTTTTTTGATGCTTTTATTCAAAACTTCCGTATCCAAGGAATGATCACCTGGTCTTGTCAAAATGGCTGAAAAATAGCTTTCATCTTATCTCAGTATGTTTCTTATGTGAAAGATTTTATGTGGTGTATGAGCTTTGGTTTGTGGAGTAACTGAGGTTTAGGCTTCACAGATGAATTTTCCTTATACATTTCTCGAAGGTAAGATGGTGCTTCCTATCTCTATGTAGATGCTATTAACGCAGAACAATAAGGTATGACCTTAACTATGCATAAAGTGTAAATGATTACACAACTTGTGTAAGAGGCAAGGAATTATTGGGGTAATACTTTTTATTGGATGGGCTGTGTAGTTGGGATAGTCTTAAACAAGTTTTTGAGTGCAAGACATCTTCATCAGATGTGAGTAGAGAGGTAACACAGCGTGCCATGGTATCAGTGAGAATTAGGCCCAATGTGCCATCACAGCTGCAACATCAATCAATACATCAGATTTATGTTATGATTTTTTTGATTAAGGGTGCAACAGTAGAGATTTTTTGGGCTGATACCAATGGCTGATTTTTAAAGAGCCATATTGACTGATACCGATCCGATTTTGATATGCAGCTGGGCAGCTTGGAGACTAGTGTCAGGCTAGTAAGTCCGGTGTGGGAAAGGGGCAGGGGAAGGGGGAGGAAAGAGACGTGGGGCGGGGGGTGCAGATCGAGGCCCCCATGGTAAGGGAGGGATTGGGGCTGCTCAGCCAGGGTGTGGTGCAGGACAGAGCCTTGAGCAGCTCATCTGGAGGGCCGGGCAGCTCCCGCCCTGCGCGCACCCTGGGAGGGCATGGGGGAGGGAGGGGGCGTGTGCCCCCGGATCTGTGCGGGGTGGGGTGGGCTGCCACTGTGGGCTGAATTTGCCATAGCCCTGCTTTCAGCACCACTGCTGCCTGCCTTGGGTGCAGCCCCAGCCCGCAGTGACAGCCTGCCCCGCCCTGTGCGCAGATCCTGGGGCACACGCTCCCCTGTGCCTTCCCAGGGTACACTCAGCAGTGGGAGCTGCCCCCCTCGGATAAGCTACTTGCAGCCCCATCCCCTGCCCCGCTACACCCTGCCCCCACTGAGCAGTGCCTGCCCCAGCACCATTCCCTCCCTCACTGCAGGGGCCTCAATCTGCACCCTCCCATACCCCTTCCCTCCTCCCACCCGTTCCCTGCACCAGACTTGCCAGCCAGATGCTGCTTTCCAGGCTGCCAGGCTGCTCTCCT